ATCTCTATAACCGAACTAGAGCCCTAATTTCATGGCTGTTAATATAGTGAGAGTCTCGTTACCCAATACTTTGATAAATGCATTCAAATACTTGCGGCAAAGTGAATAGCAGGATCCTCACCGACAGATATCAGACACAGCTGTGGATTGTTTATTTGCGGTCTGGGATACACAGGAAGTTCTCCTCAAATACGCCGTTGGATTTTCCTTTGAAATACGGGTAATCCAGTCATTGAATTGTTACAAAATCGTTACAGTGGGAGGGTTCCAGCTTCGTCCAGGAAAAATTAAACCCCTTGTAAATTATTATTATTAAATAAGCTAATGGTAGATTATAAGAAGGGATTTATATTCCTTTGATCATAAGTATATGCTTGTTCCATAGAAGATGTCTATATGGGGTTGTCTATGTTTCGCGTATATACCGAATGTCTATGTCTCAAGCGATATGGCACATACGTGATAGCTTTTGTCCCCATTACAATCGATCTTAAATGAGAACCAATTTGGAGAGTTTCTCGAAGTTTGGAGTTCCCAGTCCGGTAACTGGGTCCCATCCCTTGGTGGCATTCCAGCTGGCACCGGGGACATATGGGGTAGGGAGGTGGCTGTACATATCAGTTCCGGTACAGCCATTGGAGCCACCGTGAACGATGTCGGTAAACCCGCTTCGACCGATGGTGTAGAGCCATGGGTTCAAGAATCCCATTCTTGGTTTATTGTGAGCGAGACGAATGGAGTTGAGGATCGAGACTACACCGGCGAAGAGGGGGGCAGAAGCACTGAAAGTTAAGGTCAGCCACAAGGAACATTCCAAAAGTAAGTAACTGAGTTCTCGGCACGAGACAAGACTAACCTAGTTCCTGAGACACCAATAGTCTTTCCATGGTCGCGGGTGGCGAACTTATAGGACTGGGCAGAGACATCAGGGAAACCACGTCCCTGAGGGTTGTACATGCCGTCCCACTTTCCTTTTTCAAGCTCATGTCCAAGGTAATGCCTAACATCGAGCTCTTGGTACCATGGGCGAGCAAAACGCTCTGAGAAACCACCGGATGAGAAGTGGATAGCAACTTCGGGATTAATCTGGTGGGTGCCTCCAACAGAAGTGACGAAGGGGCAGGCAGCTGGGAAAATTGGGTTGAACTTGGTGGTATTCTTTCCGTCGTTGCTCTGGCATGCACTGCCGACACCGGTGTCACCACTGCTGAAGATGACGGAAACACCTCGGGCACCGAGACGGCCAAACAGGCTGCAGACAACGGAGCTGTAAGTTGGGGGAACACTTTGCTCGTTCTCACCATAAGAAGTGGACAAAACAGCTGGGAGTTCGGAATCAGGGAGGTCGAGAAGATAGAACAGTTGCTCAATGTAAGGCTCGTTGTTGTTTTCAGTGATGTTGGGCTGGTCAAGATCTGGAATGAGCTTTCCTCGTCCCGCGGTACCGTAGTAAGTGGAGAGAGCTCCGGACAAGCCAATAGCATAGTCAACATCGAGACTGGCTTCAACGCTGTCGAGGGTAGAGTTTTGTTCATTCTTTGCGCCATCAATGGACTTGAAATCGAACGTAGTTCCCTTCAAAGAGGGAACGAACATGTCAATGAAGGTGCTGAAATCGTCAAGTCGAGCATATTGTTCCAGGTATCCGGAGATTCCAAGTCTGTTGCGGGGGTCCTTCTTAGCAAAAGTGTTGCCCATCTTGTAAAGTTCTCGAATGCAGTCAGGAGTGATAGTGACATTGCAGTCAACATTCGCAGAAGAGGTCATTTCGAGGTCAGAGGTGAAGACGCTGCTCAACTCAGGGCGAGGGGCACTGAATTTGGTGGTTGGCTGGACCATTTGGACATATGGAGCAGCAGATGCAGCAACGGAATACTTTAGAGTGCGGATAATCTGGCTGCCGTCGGCGGTGTTCTTGAACGTGTAGAAGCGGGTATTGAACAGCTTCTCGGCTTGGGCGATGCTGGTGGTAAAGGTGAGCCAGTCCGTGTTGGACTTGACAGAGCGCTTAGAAATACCCTCAGAAGCGAGCCAGTTAAAGACGGAGTCCTTCACCTGGGGTGAAGGCTGTAGGAAAGCATCAAGCTCCTCGCGGCTCATGAATTTGCCGTAATCAGCATGTTTGGGGTTGGAGATATCCATAACCCGCTGCTCGAATTCAGCGGTCTTACCCTGCACGAGCGCAAGCTTGAATTTCATCTGCGTTGATGGAGCTGGTGAGCCTTCCTGAACCCATCCCTGGGGGACTCCATTGAGCTGTTCGACCACATGGAAGTCATTAGAGATATGAGAGGTGGGAGCAGCAGTGATCAAGGCTGGCAGGCCGATGAGACAGGCGCCAATGGCCCGAAGGGTGAAGAAAACCATGGTTGGGGAAGGCGATTGAAGGCAGTCCCGTTGATGATAACTTCTCCGGCTGTTGCTGTCACTCTTGCAAGAGGAATTGCGGAAGGGACAGGAGTATGCTATATATGCACGAGCTAAGCAGCAATTTCCCGCAGCTGCCCGCTGGCTTACGAGAAGGCGAGTTCGGCTGGAGAAGAGCTTCTGTTCTAGAATGCTGTTCTTTCGTAAGGTCCAGGAAGTAACACGATGTGCATGAAGTCAGGATCCTTGCATGCATGTACTGATATTATCTCCTCGGGCTTGTTGCGGGTCCTCGAACTTGAAGAGGAGCGTAATATTACTTTCTCGTTAAGTAAGTTAGCAACGGGGTTGACGTCGGAGAGACCCTTGACGGGATCAAAAAAACTGTCAAATAAATAACAGCACAAAAAGAGGGTTTCTCCTGTCGCTTATGAAGGAACTCTGTCCTTCGGGCAAGGGTTAGGCAGTGCCATCCTTTCCTTGAGAACTGCCCCAGTGCCAAACCAATCAATAGAATCAGCGTATCCCATCGCCAGGGGAGGACAAGCAAATCTCCCAAAGCTGGAGGGGTGATCGGCACCATGGCAAATCTTGGGGAAAAAGGTCATTGGAACAGCCTGGCTGAAAACCGCTAGTTTGGCAATCCGTGCACCATCCCCCTTTTTTGGCAGATTGATCATTAGGCAACACAAAGCAGCTATCTGCAGCCTTCCGCGACCCGAGAAAGAAACAAAATAGCGCCCATTTTTCCGTTTGTGACATGCATCTTGAGGGCCTTTAAAGGTTCTGTGCCGCGCTCCGTAGGTGAGCGATGCATTTGCATGGGATCATAGAGGAGCAAAAGAGGGTCCAGGATGGAAGATAAGTACTATACGGACCAAGGCCCCTGTCACAGTCGCATTGCTCTCGTAAGCTCGCGAGATTGGTCAAGCATTGCTTCCGACTGCCAATAATAGCTTGGTACCGACAAGCAATATACAAGCTCGTGTTTCTCCACCCTTCGCTCCCCCCCGATGTCTCAAGCGTATAATATACCGCCCGCCGCAGCTGGCAAACGAGAGCGAAGGTGTGATCTTAGTCGGGTTCGCGGTCACGGTCAATCAGAGTTGTTGTTGTTGCTGGCCTTTTTGATGTCGGAGGTCGAAATAACCTCCGTCTGTGCCTGGCACGTGAAACGCTTAGTTAACTCGCGAGTTAACCGAGGGAAGACTCGAGTCAAGCTCGTCGTGTTATTATTATTCATGCCCGACAGGCGTTTTATTTCGACGCCCACCATGTCATGACCCTTTTTTTTTCGGCTCTCCACCGGTGATTTGCTTTGCCTGTGCTTGCTTTGGAGGCCGGCCGAGGGCAAAACTCATTTCTCCGGACTTCCTTCGCCTACATCTCTACCTTGGTGCCCATAATTTCGCTCCCCCCATATATACGCAGTCCAGGGTATGTAAGTACGAAGTACGGGATGCGGAGAAAGTCTTTCCACCTTGCAACAGAGCAGCTCGTTAGTTTAATTTGCTCCTGATAAGGACCGGGATCAGGAAAACCCCGCTGGGGCAAATGGCCGAGAACAACTGGGGATATCGTGATTGACGCTGCCGGTGCGGAGAATATTCCTTGCCCTTAATCGTGGGTTTTTGTGATGTTGCGGATTATCTGATATAAGTAAGTGTGCTGAGGATGGCCTCCTGCTTATCTTCCGGATGCGCGACCCTGCTGACTGCCTGCAAGTGGTCTTACCATTAGCTAACGCTTTGTCCCGATTGTACAAGTTGCGTCCGTGGAGCCGCCGGGGTCTCCAGGGCTTTCTCAACCTTTAGTTACCCCGGTCAAATGAAGGCATTAACTAACTAGCTTCCAGTTAGCACCGCCTGCAGGTCACGACGGAAGAAACGGCGGGAATCAAGGTTTGTTTGGCGAAGTCAACAATACTAATCTTCTTGCTAGTCGTGACTTAATACCCCCTCCGAGGAAACCTCTTCGGATTAATGAGTGGTGCGGATGTCAGTTAGTTATCGAGGCGGGCGCCTGCGGAGCAGCGGAGGTTTAGAGTTGAAGAATGCACTGGTGATTCTACCTGCATTATTCTCCAACTATAACTAGCTCGTTTTATTTCTGGCTCACCATATATCTCACGCCTCGTTTCAAGCATCACGCAATCCAAATTCTTGAGCTAGATGTGGAGGCAGCTCGTTGTCGCTGCCTTAGAATCCACATTCCCGGAAGATATATGCAGTGATATGATAGCCGACTCGCCGGCTAGCTTCGTCAAGAACATATATCACGCTATATTATTCTATATTTGCAATCCTATGGGTTGACATACCATCAATACCCTTTGAGTGCAGCCGACCCACTGTTCAGAGTAGGCAAAGTTTGAGACTGCCCATTGAACACTCACCCTGAACGGGCATATACCTGAAAATACAGCCTTTTATTGGTGGATAGGATAAAGAAGTCTTCCAGTCCATCACCCATCACTAGAGGAGCACATTCTGTTGTGATTTAATTAAACGTGGCCATTATTAATAGAGCAATAGCTTTTGTCTATACCATTCCATTCTCTCAGCTTATCCAGCATTTAGAATGAAAAAGAGTAATGACTATGAGATAGGATCCCCCTGTCTAGACATAGCACCATGTCTTTTTGTTTTATTGCTGAGGACGAGTACTAAACTCTTTCAGCTTATTTTTCTCTTATTTGTTCATGTTGTACACCTAAGTAGATTTTTTTTATTTTGTTTATTGTACGTTTATCAACATCCCCCTTTAGCATTAATCAGTTGGCATTCTTCAGCCACTTATCAGTAGCTTCCTTTTATCACTAAGAAACCCACAATACTGACTAAAAAAACGTACTGTCTCAAGCAGCATACGTTAGACCGGGCGTATCCGAGTGATAGAGAGGTCAAATGGCTGAGTACTACTATCATTCTATCGGTTTGAACAACGCGTCAAAAAGAAAACACAGCTAACGCACCCGTATAGGTTTGGTGGAGAAATAATCAGTATCCGTGCCGGAAAGAGTTCATTTCATATCCATGAGAGTTTGGTAAAGGAATCCTCCACCCTACGACACTCGTTGAGGAAGCAGAAGGAAGCCAGGGGGTATGTGTACACGTTGATAATACCAGACAAGTACACCGAGGCTCTGCAGTGCTATATCAACTGGATATACCGACGCATCATCCCCTGTGCCGATTCTGAGCAGCAGACGAGAAAAGAATCGATAAACTTGGTCAAAGCCTACATCATCGGAAAGAAATTAGGAGACACCGAGTTCCAAAACGCCGTTATCGACGAAGTCATAGAGAGAGCGAGCGGGAAATGTAACGGCAGTATCATCCTGCCCGACGCGGAGACGGTCCGGTTTACTTATGAGGAAGCGAAAGGGCGTTCCGGCTTCAAGACTCTTCTGGTTGACTTATATGCATCCAACACTATCAATGGCTACTTCTGTAAGCCTGCATCCAGCAAGTATCCGAAATTGTTCCTCATCGACGTTCTGTCTGCAGTTGCGGACATGCGACGCACCGGACGGCCAAGCCCAACTGAAGGAGGCTCAAACAACATCTGCAAACGCTTCCACAAGCACACTCAGGGGACAAAATGCTAGTTATCTGAATGGCCAATATAGTTGGGAGACTTAAGGGGGACTCAAACAGGTAGTTATTTGATGCGGCTGAGGAATAGGCGATTCTGGCGCTGACAAGGATTACTGCAAACATCATCATGATAGCACGAGTTGAGACAAAGCATCTATCTGCATAAGGCCGTCTTTTCGTAATCTATCCTTTGCCCGTAAGATCTAGCTAGCTAACTACTTGACAGCTTTGACCGTATGTTGCTTGTTTCATCGACGCCTGCGCCGTTGATTGATCTTGAGAAGAAGCATTGAGTTTTTGGTGGAGCCGCGGAACCTTGCAGCCGAGGCCGCCCTGGAAACGACCATCAAATTTGGCCTTGCGACATCAACGCTTCAGCCTGCAGGACAAAGGGGAGGAAAGAAAGCAAAAAGAAAAACAACAACAGCATTCACTCGTTTCTGCTCACTTCTCTTTGCCTCACTGGCTCGTCTATCTCCCTCTCTGACACTCTTTTCTTCTGGTAGCTCGTGTTTTATCTCATACTTGTCTTTGCTGTCTTAAGAGCCGCAATATCTCTGGCCATGTCAACATGAATGCTGGCATCTAGCTCTCCAGAACAACTATCTAGAGAAAGCGTGTTAGTTTGGACAACTATCTCATAATAATAATACATTCTTTAGCAGGCATAGAAGAGCGAGAAGACACTCCCTACACTTTGGTGGCCTCGTTGTTACAGGCCCGGATCAGTCTAAAGTGGCCCTGGCCCTGCCCCTACAAGTGAGGGTTTGAACACTCCTTTGATTCTATCTGCTACTTTGCCTATTATTTAGGCAAATTTCTCTGTGCCTATAGGCTCGCGTCCTATCTTTTCCCCCTCTGTCTGTTATTTCCACTAAGGGAACTATCTTGTTACGGGCGGTCACACCAGCGCGCTGCTTCATCTATGCGTTATAGAGATGGAGATCTTCTGTCGCAACCTCCCAGAGCAGGTTCAAGAGAAACACCTGATAAAGGAGCTCAAACCTATTTTAGAGCATTTCCAAATTCATGTCTTCGACTTCCAAAAGGTGGGCCGGAAAAATGGTAGAATCACTGTTGCTGATGCTAGGAAAGGCCAGCACTTCCTCGACACATACGAATCACGCATGAACCCCGTGCGAGGGCCTGGCAGGCCACCTCACCCCTCTGTTACTCTCAAGCTATATGGGATTCCTGTTTATGTGAGCAAGAGCACCAACGTACCCTATAAACAACTTCTACAATCACTTTGGGAGGAAGAAGAGGAGCGACTAAACGCGCGCTTTGCTCCTGCTCCAAGATCAATTACAGGGCAGATTGACCGAGTCAGGCATTTTAAGGTCACTATGATGTCCTGTGGGTCATGGGACTACCGTGCAAATCAACCAGTCTTTGTTGAATACTTCCGATTTCCATGCCCAGGAGTCATCCACATTGGGAAGACTGCGTTCGAAGCTCTTTTTACAGATATTCGGTCCATGGTAAAAACCAGCATGGAAATACCCTACTGGAATGTGGCTGACGATATTTACGTGGGGGCTTATGCGAAGCCATCTGTTACCATCACCACAGAGGTTGCCCCGAGGTTCTATATTTCTGATCCAATAGAGCAGATGAAAGTGCAAATGGCAGCGTTGCTCCAGACAAAAGGGCGTCCTCCACCACCAAAGAGGAGAGTCGGGTATATAACGTCCGGCCACGAAAATATTTCCGCAAGATGCTTTACCTATAGATTTGCCCTCCAGGACCCTCGAGATACTGGTGTGGTGCGCAACTTAGCCCATGACCGCAACGTTCCCAAGATGAGCACATGGAACGATATGTGCGTTTATCCTCGACGGCCCTACAAGCTACTAGATAGGGAATTTGGGGTCTACCTGGCGCGTATGCCATTTGACTACCGTGTCAAATTCCAGCTGCTGAAACTGGTATGGAACGGAGAGCTTTCGCTGGACCAAGCCTCGCTACTTCTCCCAGCCGTCCACCGGCTACATCAACAACATCCCCACGACATTGTTGCTCAGGCACTCATGCGAATAGACGGAAATTCAGTCTACCCGTCACCTGGTGTATTAGCCTCTGATGCTGGTATTGAAGCACTTACTGAGACCTTGGAGAAAAACCTAGATACCATCTTGAAAGCAAGAACTGAATGGGACATCAATCTTATGCATGAGAAAAACGTTTTGGTGCATCGAGCAACGGTTACTCCTGCCGGAATCTACCTTTCTGGTCCATACGCAGAAACGAAGAACCGAATTTTACGCAAATATTTAGATAATATTGACTATTTCATTCGTGTCGAATTCCTTGACGAGACAGGTGACCCTGTATTCTTTGATCCACATGCAAACTTGGAACCAATTTTCCATCAAAGATTTGCTGGGGTCATGAAGCGGGGTATTGAAATTGCAGGCCGTGGGTTCGAGTTTCTTGGGTTTTCTCACTCTTCACTGCGAGCCCAGACCTGCTGGTTTGCTGCCCCTTTCACCACAGCCGACGGTGACTATCTCAATGCTAGGACAATCATCGGCAATATCGGCTACTTTGATCACATCCGTTCTCCTTCTAAGCAAGCAGCTAGGATTGGTCAAGCATTTTCTGATACCCTTACCTCCATATCTGTCTCCAAGGAGGTAGTCTGGATGAGAGCACCAGACGTCAAGAGAAACGATCGTATCTTTAGTGATGGGGTTGGAGTTATGTCTCGCGATCTAATGTACAGGATCTGGAATGAATATGCGCTCCGGGAGAAGGTGAAACCAACAGTTTTCCAGATCCGTATTGCTGGTTAGTCAACTATCTTACACACCCTACGCAACCCAATTCCTGCTACATATGAATTATATATCTCTTAGTAATTCAGTATAATGTGTGCTAATTTTTACTTAAATTCAAGGAGCCAAAGGGATGGTTTCTCTGGATACCAGGAGAAAAGGCGAGTTCTTGATGCTTCGAGAGTCAATGGTCAAGTTTCCCACAGATGATCTATACAACATTGAGATTTGTGGGGCCGGGATCAGAGCGTTACCATTTTACTTGAACAACCAGATTATCAAAATTTTGGAAGACTTAGGGGTTCCATTTGAAGCTTTCCACCAATTGCAACAAGACGAGATAAACTTTCTATATTCGACCTTCAATTCTACGGAACGAGCTGCCAAATTCCTTGAGGACTCACCCGTACCCAGGTCCCTTCGACTACCATGGCTGTTCTTAGTTCTCAAGGGTTTGGGAATACGGTATACTCGGGACCCTTTCCTGAAGCGGGTAATGGAGCTCACTACATTGCTAAGGCTCCGTGACCTGAAATATCGTGCAAGAATACGCGTTCCCAATGCCGTCACCCTCTATGGAATCATGGATGAAACTGGCTATCTGAAGGAAAACGAAATTTATTGCGTTTATTTAGGGGAAAACGGTAGACGTGAGATTCTTGTTCGTGATAATGTTGTTATCACACGGTCACCAGCTCTGCATCCAGGTGATATTCAGGTTGTCAATGCAGTGGATGTCCCAGCAAACTCGCCTCTTCGCAAGCTACATAACTGTGTTGCCTTCAGTCAACATGGTGATCGTGATCTTCCAAGTATGCTAAGCGGTGGAGATCTTGATGGCGATCTCTACAATATTATCTATGATACCCGGCTAATTCCTCGAAAGACTATTCCACCTGCCAACTATCCTCGGGTTGAAGCCAAAGAGCTAGACAGGAAGGTCGAAACTGAAGATATCATTGACTTCTTTGTTACTTTTATGCAGCAGGATCAGTTAGGCCGCATTGCAACTACACATCAAACAATTGCGGACCAGTCGGAGTTCGGCACTTTGGACCAAGCATGCTTGAAACTCGCTCATTTACATTCCGTTGCGGTAGATTACTCAAAGAGCGGGATAGCGGTACGTTTATTGTCCGACTCTTCTCCCATTATTAACAGTAATTCTCATACATTTACAGGTCGATGTCTTGAGCATCCCCAGAGCCCCGCGGGTCCGGCCAGATTTCATGGCCCAGAGTCCTAGATTCCGTGTTGCAGATAGCATTGAAAGTATTATTGGTGAAAAAAAATCAACCATGCAGGAAGATGATGACGAGGACGAGGACGATAGTGACCGTAGGAGAATTCGATACTACAAGAGTAATAATATTCTAGGTCGACTCTATCGTTCTATCGACGAGCGAAGCTTCCTTTGTCAGCTACGGGATGCAGGAGCTGTTGATACCAATACCAATACAAACGTTCTTCGCTCGATCTGGAACTATGTGCTGTCAGAGGTGGATGGTTTTCTTTGGACCCATCTCACGGGGATATTCCATGATACCAGGGATATGTATGGACCACCATTCATCTCGTTCTCTCTTAATATGTTTATGGATACTTGTCAGGCTGACGCACTGGGAATTGTTAGTTATGAGGATGAACTTCGCGAATTAATGCGTAAATACTCAGCCACGCCCTTGAAGAGTTCTATCTCAGAATATGAACTGTTCGTCGGTACTATTCTTGGCCACGGACATAAGCAACGTCGGAGAGACAAGGATAATGCAAAAGAAATGCGGGATGGTGAGTAAAATGGACCCCCTTGAGATTATTAAAAATGAGAAGAAGGAAAAAGAATCATATACCCTAACATTTTGTCACATTTTGTCATAGAATACAACCGACTCGTCGAGTTCACGATTTCTATGATCAGAGACACGGAATCCGGGGGAACAGAAGCACTCGAGCGCTCGATTGCCTGTTTTTGGGTGGCCATAAACGGAAAAAGCTCCGGACAGAAGCCAGGTCTTAGAAGCGCGCATGCACACCAAGAGAAACTCCTCAGCTTCCCTTGGATTGCTGCAATGACATGCCTTGACGAAGTCGATAAGCTGCAGAGATATGCCCCTATTTAAACCACTTCTCAATGCTGGCCATGCTATTCCATAACACTCCCCTACCGTTCCTTTATTTTATTTCATTTTATTTTTCTCAACTTCCTGACACTACATTTTTTATTAACGGCCACATGGACGAACAGGGCGGAACGGAATAGGCAATTTGGAAGAAGGGTCTGGGGTAATTAGGGAACTAAACTAGGAGAAATAATCGCTTTGGCTCCGCCCGCCAGGCCTTAATTACTCAATCCAATAATTTAATTCATTGCATTATTATTATGTGCACCTGGCAAGCAAGCCGCTCCCTCTAGGCTTTCCTTTGCTGCATGTCATTTATATCTAGAGATGGCGTGACGTCATAGCCAGTTATAGTTAGTAGCTTCGTACCTTGGCTAGCCTGTTGCAAACAGTGCAAACACAGAAGCCGTGGTCAAGTTAGCCTCAAAACCTCCAGATCCAACCTACGGTCGACAAAGCAGCAGCTGTTCCTCCGCCTGGGCCGTTAGCTTTCTGTTTCGGCCTCTGTTCTGGCGGCGTGACAAATGATGAATGAGGCCTGGTCCTCATTGACGTCGCCATCATGGAGAACTCGACCGATGTTGTTTTGGAGGAGATAACATGGCGGTCTCCCCAACACGTCCAGTTAATGGGCGGCTTCCTCCACTCCAATAATAGTGAGATCGCGCATGAATCTATTACTTTGCTTTACTGTCAAATTGAATCAAAACTAACGCCGTGCTTCTGGTATTGTAGTTTTGTTCTACTTTGCAGAATCGCCTTTCTTCGATTCTACATCGAATAATGCGACTTTAACATTGCAAGCGATGCACAATGAGAACTTTCGTCAATTCATCGAGACTCGGGAAGCATTTGAAGGGAGGTTAAAGACTATGCAAGGTCTGGAGTTTGTAGTAGCTCAGGATCCTATACAGGAGGCCGCTGCTGCTGTAGCGGCCGGGAATGCTCCTCAAGAACCATCGAATATATGGGTGATTAGGAAGCAAAACAGGCGCCGGCAGCCGGGTATGCAGGAGGAGATCCAGATACTGGCTACCTACTTTGTTGTAGGAGATTCCGTTTATATGGCACCGTCATTGATGAGTGTGGTCGGACGCCGAATGGTAATACCCCAATTCGCACCAGCCACAACTAGCCGTTCTACTGACTACCGTTACCCTTAGCTATCTACTGTCACATCTCTCACAAAGGTCCTTCCTGTCGCATCGAAACAGCTGCTTTTTACGCCATCTCACGGCCATACGTACACTCCCCCAATTCAGAAGCATACAGAGGCGGGCCAAACGACTGCTACCCAGTCCGCACAAGCTGGAAAGGAGGCCACTCCTGTACCTGGTACCCAAAATACAACACCCGGCGCAGTATCACCGCCTTCCAAGCTAGGCGCAGCGGCAAGTCAGGATATGAGAACTCTTGCAGATGCGCTTAACCTCCTCTCCCGTTATGGTGACGAGTATATGGATGAGATGCCTTTGGTCGGTGAACCAGGGTCCTTCATCATTTCAATGAATGCCGCAAATACATTGACAGTTCCCGGAACTGAGAACCCTTCTGGCAGTGTCGGAGCGACTAAGTCTACTGTGCGATCACCATCGAGGACTCCAGTGCCAAAACTGGGAGGACCAGATACTCCTGGTGCTTCACCTGCACTAGGAGGTGTGACTGACTCCAATCAGCCTTCAATAGGGAAAGGTAAAAAGAGGGATATCACCAACGCCATGTGAAGCACTTTAAAGCTCCGCCCCTCTGGCAGAAGAATCCTTACAGCTCTCAACAGCCAAAATAGCGGAGCCTAAAGTTACTTTCCTAGCTCTGGGTTTATTGGCACCTCTGGAGCCCACTGCGACCTCTTGCAATTACTTTTGAGAGCCCGAGACAAAGCAAAACACCCTTTATAGTTAACTGCCTGCATACTGGTGAATACAATGCCGTTGCAACACTGTCATAAGTGACACGCTTAAAACCATATTATAAAAATGAGATTCTTTGATCGACTCCTTGCGATGGCCCTCGACGTAAGCATATTACTAACCATCTATGGAGTACTTTAACTATGTGAGGCAGCCCTACAAATTAGACTTCTACCATGCTGGACCCTCAACTTTCCTGTCCTGCAACCAAAATATCAAAACCACGCCACCGTCAAGATGTCTGCGGCTTCGAACCAACCACGACCTGTCGTCTGTGTCTTGTATGTATATATCCCCCTCTCCTATAATCTCCTGCTCGTACACCCATGCTACGCATTTAGCTGTAGGAACCCCGCTGACTGACGTAATTAATAGTTGCGGTTCTGCTGCTGGAAAGTCCCCCGCCCACATCGAGGCTGCCCGCTCCCTCGCCCAGCTATTCCACAGGGAAGGAGTCAAACTCGTCTATGGAGGAGGCACGGCTGGCCTTATGGGCGAAGTTGCTCGGACGTTGGTCTCACTTTCAGGGCCGGAATCAGTTCATGGCATTATCCCGTCGGCTCTCGTAAAGATTGAGAATGGCCACCAGACCCCACTGGCTACTACTGACAAGCGTGCTGGCAAGCTGCCAGAGAGGACTGAATCTACGAATGTCAACACTGCGGAGTCTGGAGGGATGAGCAGCTTTGTAAATCCGGAATATGGCATGACTACCATCGTACCGGACATGCATACCCGCAAGCGTATGATGGCCGGCGAAGTCATCTCTGGTGGTCCCGGAAGCGGGTTCCTGGTGTTGCCTGGAGGATTTGGCACGATCGAGGAGGCCATGGAGATGACTACATGGAATCAACTGGGCATCCACGATAAGGGGATAGTTCTCCTGAACATCGATAACTACTGGGATGGTGTTCTTGCGTGGGTTGACAAGAGCGTCGAGCAGGGTTTTGTGAGCACTGTGAATAAGGAGATATTGGTGGAATGTAAGGATGTAGAGCATGCTCTTGATGCGCTGAGGAATTACAAACTAAGCCAGGGCCGTTTTGGGCTAACCTGGGAGGTGGAATTCGGAAAGGATAAGTGAATATTAGATGATCTCGGATCTGGCGTTGTTCCGTCTGGATGGGTCAACTACTAAATATCTTATTTATAGAGAGGTAGATTTGTTTGGCAGACAACATTTCAGCATTAAGAGAATTTATCACAGAGGTTCATTGTAAGATGAATAAGCGCTTCAAATAGAAAGCAGAGGATTATCTCCTGTTGTTGAACATAACTATGTCTATGGGATCATTATCATCACGAATCCACCTCCATGTCCTCTGACGGCTTGGTCTCGCTCGATGCCGTCTCTTCATTTGCACTCTCGAGGAAAGCCGTCACGTCTGGTCCATCGTATAACTTAAAAGTATCGATCTTTCCGTTGGTGGCCGCACTTGGAACACCAGTAACACCCACAGTTGTATTGTCGATTGTCAATTCTCGGTCCTGTGACAAACTCTCCTTCAGAGCCTTCAGCGCATGGTTGATCAAAGCCTCACGGCCACAGTCGGCAAACGAATCCAAGTTCCGCTCTAGGTACGTTCTAGCCATTTGGCTTCTAGCTCCAATTGCGCAGGCAACCATCTCCTGCGTCATGCCGGAGGGCTGGAACTCGAACAGGTGAGGCCCGGCTTCATCCACACCTGCAATCAGTAAACCGACGCCATATGGTCTCTTTCCATAAACCTGTGTGTTTGTTTGGGCACGGTCTCCAATTCGGCTGACGATACGTTCTACTTGGAGAGGGCGGCCGTATGTCATCTTCGAAGCCAGGGATTGTTGTTTCATAAAGTTCGATAGCACACGGGCATCAGAGGCAAGACCAGCGATCGCAATTCCCATGTGGGAATCAACTGCAATGACCTTCTTTTGGTATGACGACAGCTCCTCCGCATTTCGCTATTTGACATTGTACTGTTAGACATGACTGACCTAATCTAGTGAGTGGACGGCTGCTATCCCACCTTGAGAGCGGCCAGGACAGCGTGTGTCTTGCTGACTATGCCGACTACCACCGAGCCTTGCTTGACAGCCTCCTGTGCATATTCAACCTGAAATATCCGGCCTTGGGGCGAACTATTCTGGTATTAGCAACCATATCTCAGTTCTCTAGATACTCCAGGCGGTGCCAACTCACAAAGTAACGGAGTCATTGTCATAGTTATTTCTAAACATGGCTACGACGGCGTAGCAACGACAGTAAGAGGACGAATATCGACGAGCAAGCCGCTGCGGAAGGATGAAGGAGGTATAGCCTGTGAAAGACCTGCTGGTGTGTTTATGATGGGCCTTCTTTCTCTCCCGCTGCTTCAAGGCAGAAGAGACGCGGTAGCTCGCAGCCCTTTTAGGGTTAGCGCCAGAGCTTCGGACAGTTGGGTTGCTTATGTAAGAATTCGCGGCGTCATTCACAAGTTCAAGCCGTAGAAGCAGCAGGAAGACGAAGGTAAACCAGGACGACGAGGGAAGAGGAAGATCGAACACAAGACAGCGACATATCAGCTTATTGTCAAGCTCTATTTTGTCAGTTTGTTTTTGATGCGACGGTGATACGACTGCCGGGCCCGCATTTGACGTCTGTACTCTGCCATCGAACCAGGCGTCAGCCTCTCCATAAGATCGATCTATCTCTCTGCCTGTCACGATGCCGGGCCTTAAGACTATCATCGCTCTCTCCTTTGTAAGCTCGTAGAAGAAATACCCCTTACTTTGTTTGGTCATCATGGCCCGGCTAACAACCTCTTATAGGTTCTTGCTATCGGTTTCCTGCTAGTTATTCTCTCCGCGGCGCTATGGCACAACTACCTACCACTCCTTGTTGTTGCGACATATGTCATTGCACCAATACCGAACTGGATATGCAGCCGATGCGCAAGCTCGGATGATTTCATGGAGAGCTCCAACAGCGGTGCGGTGGACTTTGGGCGGTGGTTCACTGGTTTCCTGGTAGTGATGGGAATCGGTACGTGGCGGCTTCTCTTATGTCCCAAACGAGCATATACACCATATCGATCTTATATGTTACTTGCTCTTGTTCATATGCTAATTAATATCCTATGGTACTAGCTCTCCCCGCGGTGTTAGCTCACAGCGGCTCAATCCAGGTCCCTGCGATGATCATGTCAATTTTGGGTGGCCTATTAATATATGGAACCATCATCAGCTTTTCGATGTTCTTCCAGGAAACGGAAGAATTCTAGTTTATCGGATGTTATTTCTTAGCCTTTCTTGCCTACGGATTGTTTCCCTTCAGCATAGATTAATAACCTCGGTCGGTGGCTGGATATACATGTCTCTTCTGACAGGTAAATTCCAGCTTCGATCAGATACTCTCTATTCCCCGAGCTGATCCCCCGGAGTTTAGACTCGGAATCCATCTTTATACCCTCTCAGGGCTGAAAGTTCATCTCTTTGTTTACTTATGATCACATTCGGCGTTTTTTATGTTTTGACCTGACTGTATGATAACTAGCCCTTTCCCATATACTCTTCACACTGAATTATTATGGCATATTCCTCCCTTTCTATATTTATTGCTTCTAATTCTTCCCTAAGCTGAAGAGCAGACTTGCGAATATCAAGTTGCTCGGATCCATGGATGGAATTCATGGATGGTCACGTGGCGGTAACAAGTTACCTACCTCTCTTGAGAAGCCGTCAATTAGCTCCGGGGCTGAGTAGTTAAACTAATTGGACATTTATTTACTTCAGTCTTTCCTCAATAAATATTTTATTTTTACGCATTAGTTCCATGCTCTTATATTGCATGTTATATGTTCATGCCAGTTAGATGGAGGTGTGGTCTGGCGCCATTGATGTCGACTCTGGTTCAAGCGCGTCTCTAACGGGTAGGCAGATGGGTGCCCCAGTTCTCACCAAGAAGGCAGATTACTGACCTGAAATATATAGGCATACGATTAATTAACCCAGATCCCACCAGCCACAGTAGCTTATCCCGGAATGCGAAATTATCCTTGAGAGCCTATGTCAACCCAAATCGAATACCAATTGTCTGCTTTATTGGCCCCTCGCTGGAACTCCATTGCTCGGACTGCACAACGGTAGATTGGATCAGACACAAACTGTTGCGGACTTATCAGACAGCAGAGGATAGTTATGCAGAGTTTTCTTCCCCTCAGCAATGTCCTATTGGCATTCTTGTCCACGTCAATGAGCATATACCTTTGCCAGAGCTGAAGACCCAGTCGGCGCGGCAAGAAATATCAGACATCCTTATATTTGGGACGTTGTCAAGGTCTAACCCACAAAATGAGCGTCCATCACCACCATACGCTTCTTCATCAAAAGTTGGAGGCCAATTTTCTGGAGAGCCTTCGTTTCAGCTGAGAGTATACGCCATTCCTCTCTGTTCAAGCATCTTTACTAAGGCTCAGTCATTATCCACTCCCCCGAACAACGCAAAGTACAACGCTTCTGGGAATCTGGAAAATGAGCCATATGGTGAATTTCTGCCGAATATATTTCGTTCTCCAAGCCCAAAGAGGAAGCGGGTTGCAACCTTATTCGAAGCGGCTACGGAGTATCACAAAAATGTTAGGAGGAAGGGAACAGCCGCAATGTCTGATTATCTCAGAAGAGAAAAATCTTCCACGCCTCAGCTACCTCAACTTCCCTCAAACGTGAGGATAAAGCGAGAGAATGAGAATAACACAGACGTTACTTCAAGCCTGAATGATGTCAGCATCGCCAGAAGGCGTGCTACCTCGATTGCAAAAGATGTGCGTGTGGGGTCCAGGAGATCTTCACTCCATCGCTCTGGTTCATCAGCTTCTCAAGCCTTGAGTACATCAAGCCGTAAAGAGTTACCGGCTTCGAAGACAGACGGCTCAAGCCTCCACCTAGAACCCGGTCAGAAACCAAAAAACCCGCAGCCGGACTCCTGCGAAGACATCGCTGCCACCAACAAAGCTTTATTAACCCGTACAATCCTCACCTGTATGCGTTTCTATGGCTTCCGCCGGACAAATACTAGAACTACTCAAAGCCTGCATTCTTCCACACGGGATATACCAGAATTCGGCGATCCAGGTATAAAGTGCGACTCTAATCTAGCCAATGATAGCCGTATACAAGACGTCTCTGGCCCTGGGAATCTTCCTCCCTTTGACGACATAGGAAAGTTGGACACAATAAACCATATGGATGGTTTTGATGGTGGAGAACCTGCCCGACCAGAAGTTGACGGAAATGATGATACTGGGTTTAAAGAGATGTATCATGCCACATACCGTGCTTCTACATTTGCTTTGAGGCGTTTTTTAAAACCCTCCGTTCAAAACATCGGGCTGTCAGGAAGTTCAGCTTATGCCAATGATATCCCTGTCTTAGGGAAAGATAAGGCGATGTCCACGATAGACTCCGTTCTAAAGCTATTCTGTGAATTGTCGGAAGGGGAGTAATCAAGCACGTGTAATGATATATTAATGATTGATGAATGCAACCGCCCGGTTCCTTATTCACGTTTTTGCCTTCCTTCTACCGAGATCAGGACACATTTAGCCATTACCGCCGCCGAAGAAGATACCCACTAAGCAAAGGCAGGGAGTATTAGAAGTAGGTAGAAGTATGTAATGTAATAGATGGTATAATATTATATATATACAATTAAAGTAAGAAATAAACAATTTTTTGTCATCTGCTAATGCAGATGGGCTTTCTACCCTGTCCTGCCATATATTCATGGCCATAATAATCATGTTTTGAAAAATAAAATGGTTCCTTGTTCTTCATGCCCCTCAGACTGTTAGTAAGTGAAAACAAGTGACTCAAGTGAGCACTGAAGGTCTGATTGCACTAACCTTTGGGGTATCTTTTGGGAATACTAATTAAATAGCGCCCGCAGGCCGTCGCGAGAGAACGGAAAAACTGAGGTGCTATTCAAAGAAACATTAGTTATCTCCTATTCTAGTATATAAGCACCGAGATCAAGGGGTAAATACCTGATATTTATATCAGCAAAGCACCAGATGAGTCCACAAACTGAGGTGGGCCTAGTCGCCCATTTGGGCAAGCCCTTTATTTATCCTATTAGGATTTTTACCTACCGAGATGACTTGTCAGTACAGATAGGAAAAGGCAAGAGAAGGGCACGAGCCATACCACCGAGCTTCATAGGGTAGAATATCCCAGAGCATCTGCTCCAGGAACTGGAGAATGTTTTAAAAGCATATAAAGCTTTTTATATATCAGCATTTGCTGAAGGGGTGCTTTTAAAGGCAATTCCAAAAAGGTATAGACCACTCTCTGGGCTTTTTATATACCGTACCTAATAATGGTACTTTATTATATTTTATAAAGCCCAGCGACCCCAGCCAGTATGACTGGAGTCGGGTCTTGCGTGAAGACCAGTCTCTGGCCTACACCAGGAAATGCCTATAACTTCTAAATATTGAAGTTCTTATAATGGCATTTATGTATTGCCTATTGAAAGGAGGCAGATAAAATTTATATTCAAGTCAGCCACTAGCAAGCATGAGAGGAGGATTTGTGAGTAGGATGGTGGGATTTACGGAAGAAAGAGAGGGGGGAAAGAAGGAAGAAAGAAAAGTCACAAAAGAATTAAGAGAGCAGGAGGTATTTATACCTTCTCTCACGTGCAGCAAACGCGCTAATGCTAAGCGAGGATTCATCTCGCATAAGTGACTGGCTTAAACAGTCACGTTGACCTTCCAGATAGGTGTTCCAGATGTTCCAGCCAGTAACAAAAAAAGGCCACCTATGGTATTTGTGTCTAGAGAAACATCTAGCAAGAGGCCAGTATAAGATATACTACAGTACAGATCATATGTAGCCAAACAGAAGGAGGCGCTTTTATAGAGTATAGGAAATTTATTAAAAGGTAGATGTATTTGAAGCATGAGCACTCCTTCAGCCAGACACATGTATCTACCTCTAGGGAATAGACATTAACCCATCCTCAGATTGATGTCCTAGTTTAAGGGGTATAATTAAATAAAGCAAAGGTATAGTATACTCATGTAGAATAAGCTGTTCTCATCATTCTTCGTCATGTAAAGTAGGGTAACAGAAACCGATATTGAAGATTTAGATTGGAGATTTCTTCCATTCCCCGAATAGAATAGGTGTTGGTGTTTTCATGCCGTCAACTTCTATCCAGTTGATTTACAATCAGCTAAATAGGTGGGTATAAGGCATCAATGAGTGGTGCTGAGTTCTGGAAAGTAAATGGCCTCCAGCCTTTGCTTCGTTGATGCTTCTCAACATTGACTTTGAAAAAAAATCTTTATCCAACTCTGCATATTGTACCACGTGACTAATAATTATTACATAAGCTAGTGACGTTTTGGCTTTCAGGCGCCCGTGATGCGCTTTTGCAGGAAGCCGGCGTTGGTTGACCAAAGGCATAACAACCGCATACTCAACATTGACCCTGACAAGGGCTGGCTGTCATTTCTAACTTGTGCATCTCCGAGAAACTCCCAAATCTGCTTGATTTGTCAAACATTTAGAACCCCGGATATCCCACGACTGACTACACGGATACTTCCACCATGGACGACTCAGACAACCGTCTATTCCGGTTTACCAAGTGGTTTAACAATGCCAACACTCGTACATCTGGCATATATGCCTCTGGTGCATTAGTACGGATCTCTGCTCCCCTTTTTTTCCTTCACCGGCTGCCATCTACCCTATTATTCTGCTGTTCCACACGTTCTCGAGCTTCCAAAGACCCATCAGGCTAACATATCATCTCACCTCCATCTAGTTCTCCATCGGCCTCTTCTTCCTTATCGACGCAGCTTCATTCTCTCACAGCCCCAAAAATGGTTCAGAGGTGCATGTGAAGTTCGTAGACTGGATCCCCGGCATCTGCTCTGCCTTGGGGATGCTCGTCATCAACTCTATTGAAAAGTCGCGCCTGAGTGCAGATAGCTTCAGCTATTCTGGGGATAGCGTGGCCTGGAAGGCGAGATTTGTGCTATTCTTGGGCTTTGCGTTGTTGGCTGGTGGACTGGCTGGGAGTGTAGTACGTTCTGCCCTCTTTTGTCCGGCTGTGAATGTTGTTTTGTCGATATATTAACATTTGCCTTCTAGACGGTCCTGGTTCTGAAATACGTCATCCACGGTTACCCGCTACAGACACTTTACTTTGGTATTGCGAACGTCGTTGCTAACGCACTGGTGATGATGAGGTGAGTTTTGTAGCTGAAGTATGAATTGTCTATTCTTCAAAGCTAATCAAGTATTGTCCTTTTTCTTAGCTCTGCCGTCCTGTGGATTGCACAAAATATGGAAGATGACTATACCTATACCCTTGCTCTATAATACCGGAGCCATCGTCTTCGAGTTCACTCTGTTCGGCTTGTTTCCATCGTTATGTTATCCATGTTTTCCTGTTTCGTATTTATTGTTCCTCTTGTAGAATATTTTGAGTAATGATACTATTATAAACTACTCTCCGTGCATCGCATTTTCAGAAAGAGCACCTCAGACTATCTATTTGACGTAAGGGTTGTTTAATGCGATAAGAATTGAGATGCTCTGAGAAAAATGGGTATTGTCATTAGACGGTTTAACTCATGATCGTTTGGCCAATTATCACGTCTGACCTCACTTTTCTATTGACGTGACAAAAATAGCTATAGGTCAGCCCAGCTGACTAGATGCAGGTGTAAGATTCTCCGAGTTTCCATCTTGAGGCAATACCTTCTAGGAAGACTTATAGGATGGGCTTCCTGACGGCTAGGGATGCTCTCCTTGCCATACTATCCAGGCAGTCCCTGGGAAACAGGCCTCATGAGGAAAGGAAAGTATTTTCCTCAGTCGGGTATCTTGTGACGGTATAGCTCTCGCGATTGTTGAAAAAGATGTTGTTTTTT